TTTTAATCCTAAGCTTTACAACTGCCAATAAAAAAAACTTTCAATGACTAGACAATATTGAGAATGGGTACAAAACAAGATTTTCTCAGACTTTCAGCTTTATTCATTCTGTTAAGTCATGTAAGCACTTGACAATGAAGGGGGAGGTAAGACAAGACCAGTCCCAGGTAACGAATATGGACTACAGTCAAGACAGGGGAGACAGCTCAGTTGCCATATTGTCACAGAGAATGAAGCTCACAATTCTGTAAAGTCTAAATGTAAGCAGTCACAGGTTTAGTGATTGCAGCAAAGGATGATGCTTAAAAACTTGCATATGATTGTTATATCACAGAAGTCCCCATCCTTGAAATAAAAATCAATAATCATTGCTTGGCACATTTTATATACAATGCAGAAGAACCACTTTGTAAAGCAGAGAATTGTTTTTTTGTTTTGTTTTTTTTTTTAAAGATAACTTGACAAGCAGACCAAGAAACTGCCATCAATATTTCAATGAAGCTGGCACAGAGCAATTGAACCAAAAGGGATAAATCTTTGCAAACTAACAATATGAAAGTATTACCACTTTAATTTTACCAAATAACTGGTTTTTAAAACACATGCTTACTCTTCAGGTAATATAGTCAGTCACAATCATGTGCCTCCATAACTCATTAGGGTTGTTGAGCACTATATATAGTGTAGCTATAGCTGCAGTGGTGCATCTAGCACAAGCTAACATAGCCAATCCCTCTTCAATCCGATTTTGAATTAAAGAGTTTTCTTAGACTCGCTGCCAGCTCAAGGAAAGAGCTCAGTCAACCATGTTATTTAACCTATACCTGTTGTAGGGGAAGGTATCAATTCTCATTTCCAAGTCATTGTTATACTACCCGTAAGTGAAACGGGGGTGGGGGAATAAAAAGTACAGGTAAGTTTATGTCCAACATTAAGAAAATGACGCAGCACTAAAAAGTTTCTCAACATTAATCAAGGGAAATTAAGATTTTTGACATTGCTTTGTTTAAATAAGTTATTCAATAATTTGGCACAATCGTCCCAACTATATCTCAGTGTAATTTTTAGTCATCACAACTGCTGACAGAACGATCAATATATTTTCATGGCTGTTTCCAGATTGTCTAACGTTTCAAAACATCCAAACTAATTTCATTCCATCTTTGTAAGCGCTTCTAATTTCATCAAGTAGTACATTCATAATCATTCATACACGTGCTCCCACTTTAAAGGAATTGCGGATTTTCAGTTTTTAGTCTTTCATCTAGACTGGCTAAGAACCCAGTTGACTTTGCTATTTTCAACCCATAGCCGAGATGGGATAAGAAATAGATTCATACCTTTCGAAAAAGGGTTGAATGCAGCAAATTAGGGGAAAATTTAGAACTTCTTGCAGATTTTTTTTTTTTTTTTTTTTTTAATTCAGATCAGTGCAAAGAATTCCGATTGTTATTTGGCTAAATCGTGTATGCGCAGTTTTACAAGATTTTTAGACGAAATTCAAAGTACTTGGGATCCATAAAAAATAAATTAAGGGTTAAAATGCGGGGGAGTTCCGGGGAAACCCGGATACAGGTCGGAAATACCAAATACACGCGCAAAGGCAAAGTGTTTTAGTTGGAAAAAAAAAAAAAAAAAAACCACTGAAGAATCTCGCTAATGTAGAAAAACCCGTTTCAAAGCTTTTATATGCGCGCGCAAATATGTTCAAATTGCTTCTTGTTCGAGGCTTTGATTGAAAACCCACTATCATCTTTTGGCAAATGCGTTAATTACATTTTGATTAAGAATTATATATTAGAAAACAAAACAGTACTAGTCTACTAGACAAAAAAATTAAACAAAAAACAACACCCTCAAGATTCACTTGATTACGCCTTATCGATGCAAGCAAAAAGCACCTAACTACGGCAAACAAGCCAAGTTGGCTCAAAAGGGAGAGATGATTGAAACCCAATTGCTTGTGATTATTCACAGGAATATGCAAAAGGTAAGAGTACTGACATATAGCTAACCGTTAACACGAAAATAAAGCCATTTTCCCAGGTCATGTTACGAAAATAAGGTGAAATAAAATATCTGTTCAAATTACTTTGCGCCACGTACCTAGTTTCCCCCCTTTTCAACGACAAGACAAAAGAATTAAAAATAAAGTAAAACTGAATAATCAGTTAAATTAAAACAAAAGTTTGAAAACTGCAGTACCCGACGCTTATCTTCCTCTCAAATGAAATTTAACAACCACATTTTGCATTTGAAATTTACTTTTAATACTTTTTAGTTTTAAAAATCGGACATTTTTTCCAGTGACGAGCAGTTTTAATTTTTTGTACAATGTTTCTGAAAACCTGAAATAAGAACTAAAAAAAAAAAAAAAAAAAGAAAAAAAAAAGTAAAATAAAAATAAAAGTAAAAATTTCGTAAAAAGAAATTAAATCCACCTAAAATGTCTCAACTAATTAAGTTGAAAACACGTGGACATTTGGCCTTTTAATGAAGTGTCAAAGACGAAGTAGCGATTATGAAAAAAAACAAAAAAAAGCTTTGGAATTGGATTGTGATATCTGAACTTATCAAGAATTATTAATTAAGCCTTAAGGAGATTATTAAATATGACATTCAGTTAGCGAGTTATTTAATGCTAATGAGAAAAATCATGAACAAGTTGTAAAGGCGAGATCAGCTGAAAATAAAATTATCTTCCATTCGAGAAGAGTTAAGGAAAAAAAAAAATGTGAAAGCGATTTTTAGGCTTCACCTATGTGAAGTTGCCTTCCAGATCAGATGTAATGCACCTTTATTTACTAAAAATACCAAAAAAGCAACGCAAACAAACGAGGGATTGCGGGTAAAATTACAGTAGCAAGTGCGCATACTGGGTTGTATTCGTTTCTTCAACTGCATTACAAACTCTTTGTTGGACCAGGTTTGCAACAACCAATTGTCGGATTGGTTAGGCTCGTTACTACAGAACCCCATTCGAAAGATTTTATTTATAAGCAGCATACCTCTTAAAATTGCATTTATTACTAGTATGACGTCTTCGTACATGTGTTAGTAATTAAATTTCAGATAAGAGGTGAGCCAAGAACACTTTTCGCTTGAAAACATTAAAAAACATGACCCACAAAAAGCGTACAACACTAATTAACCAATACTGACATTTTTTTTTTTCAATTATTCAATGATGTCAGTTTTTAGTTATGGTTAAAAAAAATAAAATCCTATATAGTGAAGCTGTTTTTATTGGAAGCATTTAATTTTTCTTTCTTCATTGTGACTAATCTTGGCGCGTAACAGCGCAGTGATAGATAACGTGACAAGAAAAATTGCTACATGAAGTGAAGCAGCATATAATTTTCAGAGTAAAAATATTTAGCCATATTTAAATGTGGATATTGTTAAGGGTAGGAAAGAACGATCGAATATCAAGACAGATTCGTTAAAAGATACAGAAATCTGTTTTAACGTTCCAGAAAAAGAAAAATGGAAGACGTCAATTTGTTTTTAGAAATCGACATAAGGTTGTTCCCAGGAAACTGGAAAAAATAGAGTTTTAGTTCCATCGGAATGCAACTTGTGCAGTTGAACTCGGCGGAAGCAACGTAGTAGGGAAAGAAATTAAATTTATATAGTAATGACAAAAGCCATTGTCATTACCATATAACCATCGCCTGCAAATAGAAGAGCAGTGTTTGTGGGATTATTAAGCAAATTGTATTTAATTTACACAAGAATACAAATACTTTCATATATCGCAGTGTAGAAAGATGTAGTAGTTAAGTAGGGTAATTTCTTCATCGGAATATTAAACGAGTTCTGCTCTTAGAAAATTTAGGTCTGTACAAATTGATTGCAGAGAGGAAAAAAATTGCAAGAGAAGCAACCAAATTTATTAAAAAAGAAAAAATTAATGCTGGGGGGGGTAAGCAGGTGGTCCGTCATCTGCCCGCCTACTTGCTAAACAAATTTACATAACTCATTGTTAAAATAAATTAAGGGGAAAAAATGGCTTAATTATAGCAAGAGAAACTAGTCATCAAATCTTGAATCGCATTTTTTTGGTATTTTTAAGCCGAACCAAAAATTAGCGATAGTTGTCAATATAATTTTTTTTTTTTTTCGAGGCTACACCCTGAAAAAAATGGAAGACAGCCTGGGTAATGAATTATTTTTGGTGTAGAGCACAACCGAATAGTTACGCATGGAAATTAATTAATGGTAGTTAAAGTAATTAATTATTCCTTGAAGTGATGACCGTTTTTAATGAAGGCGTCCCGGAACCATTTCATATTTTTAATTTATTTATTTTTTATCCATTAATTCAGCAGCTGTGGCCGCATTTTAGTCCGGATAATGTCCATCCTTTTTTTTTTTTTTTTAGTAGCAGTTACCAGGATTGGTGAAAATATCGATATCCTAGCAAATGACCAGTAAAATAAAACATCTCCCCATCCTAGTCAACTAGGACGGGGGGGGGTATTGTACAATACGCCTATGAAATTGTTTTGTTTTTAACTAAAACGGAGGAAATAACACATCTAGCAACCCTTTTTAAAATGTCACGACTGCAAATTAAGTGTTATTTTTATTTTAGGTAAATTTTTAAAATGAAAAGTTTAGTGACTTCGAAACAGGTTGACCCACCCTAAGAATCAGTAATACGCAGCCTGTGTTACAAGACATTGCTTAAAAAAAATGAGGATTTAAAGAGGAGACATTTAAGATGTACAACAGATTTCAAATCATCCATGCATTGCAAATTAAAAAGATCTTTAAAGGCAACCCGCCAAGAAGCATGATGTCCCGTTTCATTGGTGGAAAGAGAGAAGAGCCCGTTCGAATTACTTATTTTATAATTACGGGAAAATAACAACTCCTTTGGGTAAAAAAGGCAGCTTAATTATGCTATATAAGAGAGCCTAGTTAAGAAGGACAAAATAAAATTTTTGAACACTTACGAGTGGAAAGAAAAATAAAAAAAGAAGAGAGATACTTACCATAAGCAATATATAACCTCTGCACGCCGGTCTTTGCTTCTACTTTAGCCAACAAATCAGTAACGGCGTTCTTTTCATTTAACATTTTTTCAAATTTAGCCAAGTAACTCTTGGCTGCAGGTTGTGTGCTAGATGCCATGTTGGTGCCCTTTTTCCGAAAAAAAAAATCCAACCTCAGATGTTTAGTTCTCTTCCCACTCTACGGTGATAGTATGTCAAGCTAAATACTTAGTGCTATTCACGCTAGAAGCCCTCCTGCCTGCTCCTCTCTCTCGTACTTACTGCTGCTACACTTGACCTGCTGCTGTTAGTAGTGATGATGTCTTTTAATCATGTGACTGTCATGTGACCACAATCAATTACATACAGCGCTTACTTTTTAGGTGCATTACCATATACAATACACACGCACCCCCAGCTGTGTATATATATATATTTTTTTTAATAATATTAATAATGTCAACAACGATTTTTTATTTTTTTAATCAAAATATAATTATTTTTTTTCCTCTCAAACCACTGTCTTATCTCCTAAAGATAGCATTACATTTTTTAAAAAATCAACACTTAACAAAATTTAAAAATATATATTAACTGAGAGGGAGTATTAATATTTTCAGTAACTATGATTCCTACAAGTCACAAGTAGTAGTAGCAGCTGAAGATTTATCGCATAGACTGACCGCACGAAGAAAGGCATAAAAAACATACTATGGTTTTTAGTCGCGGAGTCAGCTTGCGACAAGTCTAATTAAGCTAGTATTTTGACTGAAACGGATTTTATCATTTTTTTTACCAGAAAAGGCGTGTGATTTTTAAACACTAAAACAGTAAACAAAAAACTAAACAGCATAATTGTCAAGTGTCAAACGTATCAAATTTGTCGATGATTGTTGTATAAGTAAAAATTAAAAAATATCAGTAAGTTGTAAGTAACTAAAAACTAAAAATATACTATTTATTTGCCTAGTTCTAATTTGTGTTGTCACTAGCAGAAAGAAAAACCTGTCGATAGATCAACAAATACAATCGAAAAAAAAGCAAATGGTGACGCAATGCAATATTTGTGAATACACTTATTTTTGTATTTTCTTTGTGTAATTTCTTTTGATATTTACTTTAAATCTGCGTGCAGATAATTTTATTTGTTCAAGATCAATGCAAATTGTTTTGTTGCTTAGAGATATTCTTCAAAGGAAGAGAAAATAATGAGCAAAATTTTAATATCTTTTTGCCTTTTTTTTTACGTTATGTGAGTGAGCATGTATGAAAATTGAAAAAAAATACTACCAATATACTTGCTTGGTTATTTAGGAAGAAAATAATGAACAGGGCCGAGTTATTAATTAGTATTTTTTTATTTCTAATCTAAAAAAAAAAAATAACGTTAAAAAATAACAGAGTACAATTTTTTTTTAATGTACCACAAAGTACAACACACTTTGTTTAGGTATTTTTACTATTTTTTTTTTTTTTTTTTTTTTTTTCTCATCTCCCCACGGCGACGCGAGTGACACGAGGTCGGGTTTAATGTGGCGCACCCGAGCCTATCTCAGCGTATCATAGAATTGCAACTGCGTAAAAAAAGGGTTATCCCCATTGGGTGCGTTGTACCAAATTAACAAAAACTTAATAATAAATAAACTAATCTAGCAAGTCATTGTATTGTCTTGAATTCAAACCTCAACAGGTACCCTATATTTGAAGCCTTTTACCATCCTAAATTAGGCTAGAAATGCTGTTGTTAGTCAAGCTAAAGCAAATGCACTGTCATTATCAACCTACGTCAGGAAAGAGAAAACTAAGAAATGTATTTATTTACTAGGGTTCTGGGTTAGGCTTTTTCGGATTTTCCCCATCCCAGTCACATATTTTGACACAGATACCGTATTCAAACAAATCAGAGAAAAAAAAAGTATGCTATTTTTTCTGTCTGCTTTTTTAGCGGCAAAATAAATCTGCTTTTATTTTTCATAGACGAGTTACTGACATAAAGTAAAGCTAGGCCCGTGTAGGGCTGGTAATCGTCTCTAGGCCCAGGGTAGATAGGAAACGTAGGCTCCATTTCAAAAGTATTTGTAATATAATCAGTACTACTCAGTATCTTTGTAATCAGTGTTACTGTTACTGTTGAGTCGAGTGTTTACTGTTTTAAAATGATGATTAATGTCTTTCTTGGATATACATTGTAAATGAATAACGAAAACATCTTTTAAACTGGTTGTGAAACTAAAACTGAAAGCAATTTTTTATTCAGAGAGTATAGTCGTGCTGTCATATGTTTCAGTTTCTATTTTGTCCTAAGAAGCGCGCTCTGGACTCTTTTTTTTAACTTAGGATGCAAAAAAAAAAAAAAACTGCGGTTATCAGATGATAAAAAAGGTGTTGCGGATGGCTAAATTATTTAGATTTTTTTTTAAATTTTGTTTTTGAAGATTCCTGAATCTATATTTTTTTCTGATCTCATAAAAATAAGCAAGTTTTTTTTTTTTTTTTACATATATTCTCCTATTTTAATTTTTTTTTCTGTTTTGATTTTATTTTTACTTTTCACTTGTACAGTTTTCTGCAATGAGACCTATAGTCTTCTTTTTCTGTATATAAGACTTTATTTAAAGTTTTAGAAGCTTATGTTTTTGTTTTCTTTTTAAAGAAGGAAGTGTAGTTTTTTTTTTTTTTTTTTTTTTGAACATTAGCAGTAAATATGATTTTCGACAAGTGATGCAGCTCAGTGTCAAAAATTGAGAGTAAGAGGACGACAAATTCAGTCTTATAGTCTTCCTCAGTTTCAGCAAAAACTGGGTGGGAGTTGAAACCCTCATCACCCCCCGCCCCGGAACTACTATCTGTTGCATCGTGGATGCTTATATACTCTTTCTTTTTAGTAAAGTACGAGACTGGTTTATTACCTACTAGTGTCTGACACTAGTACCCGGTGAAGTTCGGCTTGACTACAGTTGTTATTATCAAATAGATTATTAACTCATTAATTAATTACAGTTGTAACTTTAAATATGGTGCTGTATAGTACAGTAACTTTCATGGTCCGGCACGTTTTAAATCTGCTACCATTAAATAATTTGTGGATCTGCCACTTAGAGGTCTTTGATTTGGTTTCAAACGATGGATCAAACCATAATTTAGCAGTAGAGTAAAAACAAAATGAGAAAGCCCAATCACACTCTTGCCCAGTCTTTTGGACAGGAGTAGAGGTTAATCCCTTGTCTTCTGTTTAGGATTGGGTTTCTGGTTCCTTTTAGTTTTAAAGTTCATTCAACTTTTAATATCCCTGCCTAAATTTTATTTACAATTTATTTTTTATTTCAATTTTTTTTCCATCGGTAGGAGTAGATAGTGTCACCTATTGTCTAGTCTATACACCTCCCCAGTCTTTTGAACAAGAATAGAGATTTCTTCCTGTTTAGGATTGGGTTTCCAGTGCCTTTTCGTTCTCTTTCACTCCCAGTAGTCTCCTGCGTCTTAGTAGCATTATCACCTTGTTTGGGGTGAATTGATTTAAAAAATAAAGACTGTGGTTTGAAACTGAAATGCATAACACAACTTTCATTGTTTATTTTAGCTCCAAATTAGATGTGAATTTATTAATTATTTTTTTTCTTTTTAAAATTTTCAATGTAGCTTTACAAATTGAAATTATGTGCCCTTGACTCGGCTATAATTTATTCATGTCAAAGGGTAAGAAATACGATACCCGACAGTCTGGCGATATGCGTGAAATATGTCACCTTATATCAGTTGGTGTCAATTCACAAGAACAGCATTGCACCTACTCCAGAGCTTCAATTTTCCCCCCACTTTTCATAGAGCCACAAGATTGATGCAGTGTATGACCACAAGACTGATGCAGTGTATGACCACAAGATTGATGCAGTTTATGACCACATGAGTGATGCGGTGTATGACCACAAGATTGATGCAGTGTATGACCACATGAGTGATGCAGTGTATGACCACATGAGTGATGCGGTGTATGACCACAAGATTGATGCAGTGTATGATCACATGAGTGATGCAGTGTATGACCATATGAGTGATGCAGTGTATGACCACAAGATTGATGCAGTGTATGACCACAAGATTGATGCAGTTCATGACCACATGAGTGATGCGGTGTATAGCCACAAGATTGATGCAGTGTATGACAACATGAGTGATGCCGTGTATGACCATATGAGTGATGCAGTGTATGACCACAAGATTGATGCAGTGTATGACCACATGAGTGATGCGGTGTATAACCACAAGGTTGATGCAGTTTATGACCGCATGAGTGATGCAGTATATGACCACATGAGTGATGCAGTGTATGACCACATGAGTGATGCCGTGTATGACCATATGAGTGATGCAGTGTATGACCACAAGATTGATGCAGTGTATGACCAAGTCAACTCAACAGTAAAACCTCCTATCATTTTTCTATATCTTCTAATGTGTTTTAGTTTGTTGCATGAACAAACTATTGTCTAATTCTAGTTTCTGTAAATATGTAGCTAAAGTGTTTCCTTATAAATATTTTTATTGTGGATTTCTTCTTCTATGTGCCATAGCCCTTCTGGACACAGGTGATTATGGCTCTCCACAATTTCTTGTCTTTTTTAGATCTTAATAAATTTTGCCTTTTTGCCATTCTCTCCCATATCCAACTCTGCCATCCATTTACTCAAGGTCACCATGTACATTCTGCTTTGTTTTATACAGTTTCTTTTGCCTTCACTCTCTTCTGTGAGTATCAAATTTTCCAAGCCTTCTTTCCTCATTATGTGCCCTAGAAATGTTTTAATAAGAATTTTTAATGCATAATAAGCATTCATAATTGTTGCATTCTTATAGAAGGTTATAATTTTTTTTTTTTTTAAACAATTCACCCCAAGCAAGGCGGGGAGCCACTAGGATGCAAGGGATTACAGAAAATTTAGAGCAAGATCAGATAGGAGTGATAGAAGAAAGGATGAGGAGGAGGGTAGTGGAAAGATCAAGGCAACTGGAGATGTCGATTGACATTACACTTGAATAGCTGGAGATTATAGCTCTCAGGAAACTGGAATAGGAAGGAGTTCCACAGGTGAGAGGTGCGAGACATGAAGCTATTGGAGTAGAAGAGACGGCTACATTTAG